GGTTAGAGAGAGACGAAGCAGAGGAAATGAGGGATGCTGGCCCTACGGGCCAGCCATTTGGTCTTATATACCCCTCCCAAACGACGCCGTTTTGGGCAGGGTATATCTGTAATTTCGCGCACGGGTCAAACCTCTCGCGTAGTCATCCTAGATTTGTAAATTTCTATTTTTGTCACTAAAATCAATTCTTATACGTTTTAATTTCGTCTCGTAATTTTATTTTATTTCATTTTAGTCCTAACCTGTATGTTTAAATATTTAGGATAAATAATATATTTAGTCCCTTAACTCTAATAAATAATATTTTAATCCCTAGTTTATATTTTTAATTTATTTTAATCTTATATTCGAATTTTAGATAAGTTTATTTTAGTCACTAAATTATTAAATAAGAAAATAGCATGTTTAATCCCTGTAATTTTGAGTAATTATGAATTAGGTTTTTAATTTTAATTTTACTATAATTTAGTCATTTATTTTAAATGTTTTCATTTATTTTATTGCTTTTAAATATATAGCTCCAATTGTATTTTTATTTTAATTTTATTTGTTTATATATTTTTATTATATAGTCATAAATATATATATAATAAATAAATATTTATTTCAAATAAATTATTTTAAAATTTATTTTTCAATATCGAAGAAAAGGACAGTCTTAATACAACTGGATGTCCTATTCTAGTATTTTAAAATTTAATAATTAATTTTTTAAAATATTATTTAATTTAAATTAACATTTATCAATATCAAAGAAAAGAGCTGTCTTAAGGCACCTAGAAGTTCTTTTCTGATATTTTTAAATAAATAAATATTTTTTTATATAATTTTGAAATAATAGAATTATAAATTAAATATATTTTTGAATTTTTAAAAATTTTAATAATAGAGACAATTTATAATTAAAAAGTACCAATTTTGGGCGTTGTAGGGGTGCTAATCCTTCCCTAAACGTAACCGACCACGAATCCCTTTTTATTATTAAAAAGAACGAATTTTTGGTTAAAACGCAGATCAGTTTATCTTTTAATTGATGTTTTCTTAAAAACTCTTTTAAAAGACATTTTTTAGGTATTCGACCTACCTGACACAAAAGGCCGATGGCGACTCCCAAATTATTTTCAAAACCATTTATTCACATCACTTTTCCCGCCAAAATAAAAATTTCGTGCCCGGACGAAAACCGGTTACGACATATATATTATATAAAGGTCCATTGAAGATGAACACCATGAGACAAGAGAAGTTAGGTCAAATAATATATCTATCCTTTATTGGTTTAGTGTTCGCATGATGAAACCCTGTCTTTGAAAAATATTTCTTTCTTGATTTTGGATTTGTCAAAAAGACACTTGAAAGTCCATTGATTCTACAGCTACATTCAAGATTTTCAAGTGAAATATGTATTACGGATAATAGTGAATAAATGATCGTGAATAAAAATAATATATAAAAACACACAAATTTACATGAAAAATCTCAAATGAAAATATATATAAAAAATTATGAGAATATTATAAAAAATATATATTAAACCTTAAAATTTTAATTAAATATATATAGTTGTATAGAAACGATAATTTTAATAGTATAAACTATATCATACCAAAGAGACTCCGTCCTCACACCCTGTTGAATTAGTGATAGACTATAACCTCGAAAATATCGACCTGTGAGTCTCTATTATCTATCACAAATCTCAATTTTTTTAAAATTATTTTTCAATAAAAAATCGTATCACAAACTTTTAAAATTGAACTAAACAAAATTTAAATCACAAATATTAACAACACATTCTTTATATCCATTGGTTGCATCCCAAACAAGGGCAATAGAAGAAACCATAAGTAATTAAGTAAAAGAAACCCAATACGAACAACCTAAGTTCATAGGATATGTCTTTAAGACGTTAAAATTATTATTTTTACTGTAAATGATTTCATAAAGGAAGCTAATCCCTAAAGCTTTAGACAAAAGGTTAAACTCCCAATCTCCACTATCCTATTATATATTATCCTTTAAACAAATCCTTTGATCATGCAAAACCTTATGATAAAATTATTTTATCAACAGTTCATTTTTTAAATATATTTTAAGCGGCTGTGCCATTTTATAAATTATTTTATCAATTGTTTTTTTTGTCTTCATGCAATTTTTAATTTCAAAGATGTATGAGAATCTTATCCACTATCTACAAATGAACTTTGAATAAAACCCTAATTTTATAATATACAATAGCCATAAAGGATTAAGATCATATTTATCTAACATGATTATAAGATAATATATGTTCTGAAGATTCTTTATCATTTGACAATGAAAGCTCAATAATCCTTGTAGTTTTTAATGTTCGAACCTGAACCTCTAAAAATAATAAATATTCTTTTAACCACTAAAATAACTTGGTTAGTCTATATTTAATGTTTTTTTGAATGACCCTCTTCAATCCCAACATTGGATTCCATGGTTTTAACTTTGATTAAAACACACACACACAAAGTTTTCCACTAATAAATTACAAGTATATAATCAACAAAGTTTACACTTTGAAACATGTTGATTTAAAGATGTTTATGATCTTTGACGATCTCCATTAATGGAGGCAAAGACTTTATTAATATATATATTAGGTATTAATCTTTTAATTTTGGATAAGGTACAACATAGGTCACTGAACTATTATCAAAATATAAATTTAGTTAGTCAATTTCAAATATTATAAAATGATTATTAAACTTATCAACTGTTGTAAATAATAACAATACTGATGAATTTAATGATTATTTTATAATAATTTAATAAATTTAATAATCATTATGATAAATCGAAAAAATTTAATGACTATTTTATAATCGTTTGAGAAATTTAATGCTAACTTTGTAACACTTCAAATTTCACTTATCAAAAAGATCATTTTGACATAGTTTAATGACCTCTAATATATTTTATCCTTTACTTTTTACAACCAAAGTGTCTGTATTATAATTAGGCTTAATATAAAATAAGCACAAATTATATTCTTTTCTCATTTAGATGTCTAAACTTTTTTTTTTGGTTAATTGAGGTGCCTAACGTTTTCAGTGTTATCATGGTGCCTTGACTGTAACAGACGTTAAAAAATTTCTTCAACCACTCCGAATGTGACACATGGTGCATTTATAATTTTTTTTAAAAAAAACTTAAAATTATTATTATTTTTCAAAAAAGTCTCAAAATCCTTAATCCCAAAGCATCTGCCGTCCATCGCTGCTATTGCCCCCACCGACAGCCTACCCATCGGTCGAATCCTACCCACCCACCAAACGTTGTCAATCGTGGTTTCAAAATCCCTAAATCCAAATCCCTAATTCCGAATCCTAAATTCCAACACCCATTCATCCCAAACGTTGGATGGGTGGTCAGCGAGCTAGTGACCAACAAGCGAGTCTACGATCGCCGACTGTGGTGGTGATCGACGTTAGAATTGAAAGTCTTGGGGCATTTTATGCAAAATAGGAGAAGTTTGTGTGTGTTTTTTTGAAAATTTTATGAATTTTATTTTTAAAAAATTAAAGAAAATAAAATATTAAGTCACGTGTCAAATATTGATTGGTTTACTTATTTTTAAAGGATTTTTTAACGATCGTTACGGCGTACGCACATAAATGATAACATTATAAATGTTAGTCACCTAAATTGACTTGACCTAAAAAGTTTAAACACCAAAATGAAAAAAATATAGTTTGAACACTTATATTTATATTAAACTTTATAATTAAAATAAACTAATCTTTCGAAACTTATAACTATTTTTTAACAACATTATCAGTTATTTCGTAGAGCAATATGATTAAAGTTTGAATGCAACTTGATCATACTACTTCCAAAATTAAAGATTTTTTTATATAATATAAAAAAAGTTTCTTGTTGTCAAAAACAACAAAAAACCCACATTGGATTCTAACCTACCACTCAATATCACTTTGTCTTTTTTCATAATCAGATAAAGCATAAGCACTTGGCACCAACTTGGGGTTTACCACTGCCTGGCCTTGGATTATTTTAATATTTATTTCGAGTTCAAATACTTTTTATATATAATAATTTTATTTAAAGTATTATTTATTTATATAAATTTTAATACATTTTTATCATATTAAGTTGATTTAATGAAGTAGATTTTCTTATATTTCAATTATTATTTTAAATAATATGATATAAAAATAATATAAATACATAAAAGTCAAGTAAAAGATTTTGCTTCACAAATTTTTTGTTGGGACAACTTTGAGACTTTGTGTATGAGTATACGGTCTCCACGTGTGTGTAATTTTGTGTAGAGTTGTAAAAAGAGAGTTGAAAGAAAATTGGAATAAGTGCAAAGTTTTGATTGAAATAAAGATTCTTTTGACAATTTATTTCTAATGAAAATATGTACGATATAGAGATGCTTAAATTATTCGAATTTCTTTAATTTTATAGTGTTATTTTGAAAAGAACATTAAGTTTAGAATGAAACTCATGAAAAGTCAAGGTTAGGTAACAGAAGAAAACTCAAAATATAGACAAATTTAAATGTACGTAAGAGAACCACAATATGTAAAAACCCATGAAAATTGTATAGAATACATACTATGATTCTCTTACATATATTTAGTATCAAAAAATATAGACAATTTTTACGCTAAAATTATGGACGAATTCGGAGCAAAACTAAACTATTCTCTTCTATACGATTTAGTATACCATAAGAGTATGTAACAAATGTTGATGTAATAGTAAGACATCGTACTCTCAAAAAAAAAAAAAAAACAAAGTTGATTTTTGGATATTTTCTTAATATTTTAGTTGGTGATATTCACAACTTCTCTTGCGCTCGAATAAAGTCTTAATGCAATAGCTTCAGCCTCATTTTCATTCAAAAGAAAACACGCACACACAAATGATACATCCAAATTCCAAACTATGAAGAAGGGATAAAACGAAAATAAAGGTTGTTCATTTGAATATCACCCAACAATCTCATAATCTTGAAGCATCTAAAGCATTACAAACAAGTAACATTATGCCAAACCATTCCATTACACTATGAAGTAGTAGCTTCTACTATCAGGTAAAGCAAGAAGCTTTATAACATTATGTGATGGTCAAGAAAACATTGAGGTGAAAATGAAGTAAGTGAAAACTAGTCTACTCATGTCATACAAAGTATCATATCTTTTATACACCTTTAGCTCTTCTCCTACTATGTTGGCTAACCTAAGAAAACCTTAAACTTCTTTCAGTCTAATAAAAAAGGGATTAGTTTTCATGTTCCTAACTCAAACAGCATGAAGCTTGAATACTGATTCCAAATCAGGAGGAGTGAAGAAGTCCCTAACTCCATTATAATGGAATCTCAGTGTAGGCCTAGGCTTCCTTGGAGCTAAAGGGCATGGTAATTTCTCTGGTATCTTTGCTTCTTTTGAAGTTGGAGTTGTTGACTCTTGTTCATCTTCTTCGCTTTCTTTTGCTCTGGGCAGCTTCGTGTTTATCGGCTTCAATGAAGTCCTTACGGTGATTACCCATTTCTTCCCTTCGGAGTCCAAGGCTCCGTCGAGTTGTGGTTTTTTGGAGAAGCCCATTTTTATTTTTTTGACTGGATCAAAAGCAGGGATTTTGATGCAAAAACAAGAGAACCCAAGCTTGGAAATGAATGGGTGAAGGCAGAGTAATACAAAGCAGGGGGGAAATTGTTTTGTTTGATTAAAATCAGGCAGAAATTGAAAAAGAATGTACTTTAGGAAAGGGGGAGAGTTTTGAATTTGAGGGGAAATAGAGAGAGATGTTTATAGCTAAGCTTTTGATTTCTTAAGGGGAGGGGGGGGGGAGAGAGAGAGAAATATAAAGGGTGACTGCCCGGATATTTACGGGCTGCCCTTGGGGAATTTTTTTGGCGCCAAATTTTGGGTAGGCTGATGAGCAACGGCTCTTTTTCCCGCTTAGATTTATGACAATTTACGATTTTCCCCTTTTTGTGTTTTGATATGAAGAAATGATTTTTATGGGGAGTGTTGCTGGTGAGTCAGGGCAGCGTATTGGCAAAAGGGACGGCCACGTTCCGTATAAATGTAAGAGTTGGGCCTTTATGGGCTAAAGCCCAATTTAATACCCAAGTCGTAATCCATCCAATTCTATATCATCTCTAATGGACCAGTATGAATACTTATGGGGCAAAATACACAAGAAATATATACCGATGAACCAAATGATCTTAGTAATTAAGGGATGGTTAAAATCCCGAGTTTAAACACGAAGTTTACATAGGTTTTTAGACATTCATTATCAAATAATTAAGAATCTTCTGAATATATATTATCTTATAACTACCCAAGACTAATAAAATAACCGTGAAATATTTAACTTATTGAGGAAAAACACAACCGCACAAAAATGATAAGATTAACACCAAATTGTATTGTTAACTATACTAATCGCTCTGATTTATTAAAATGTGAGATTTTTTTTAATACAAATGAGTCCGAAGCCAAGGGATTAACGCATTACACGACTATAAGATAGGACATATCTGTATGTAAAATCAGGAGGAGAGTAGCTAGAGGAGACTCCATCGCACAATCACAAGAAAGTTTTAACCAAGTCCATCTAACCCCTAAACACAAACACAAACACAAACCCAAACAAGCCTTGTGAATCATACCCGTAATTAATCGAATCAAGGAGTTTAAAATTTACCTTTTCTTAATTAAATTACTTGATCTTAATCTTGAAACAAAAGTCATATAGTAGTCATTTAAAACAATTAGTTTCATTATTATTTAGATAATATTTTATTTAATAATTACTTTTAAAAACATTTTAAAAGTTGTACAACAATAAGATGATACATTTATATTCAACACATTTTTTTAGTAAATACCAGGATTACACTATCGTTTCGCTAAATCATAATCATAGATTAAACAAACAAAACTAAAAATGGTCAAATAAAAATCAATTGTTGAGGAAGCTGAACAAAGAAACCGAGCGAACCCAAAACCAATCCAAACCCTAGTGTTCAGACTTTATGACTACAAGGGTATCAAAACAACATGGAGATAGAAGCATCACAAGTCATAAAAAGAATCATGCTAAAAAACACAAGGGAAACAACTTCAAATAGTAACGAGAACACTAACCAACAAAATTACTCTAACTCAAAAGAATTTGAATAAATAACTTGATATGATCTTAATTAAAAGGTTTAATTAATTAATTAATTTAAATGATTAGAAATTTTAAAACTCAAATTAATCAATTTCAGATTAACCCTATCCCAACCGACACAACTTGTCTGTAGCCCTTCTTTTCTTCTGATTTCTTCGACTTTTGGATCCAAGACACTCGTTACTATAACCACCAAACGAGATTAGTGAAGAAGCCCTTTTTTCCTTCTGAATGCTTCAGTATTAACATACCCATTTAATAGAGAAGAGATGGAGAAGAGGAGAAGAGAAGGCACATCTGACGGCTGGCAGCTGGCAGAGAACAATGATGGCCTTGGAAAGCTCCGGTGGTGATTTCTTTCTTTCTTCATAACAAAATGGGGAGGCTTGGGGAGTCGGGTTTAGCTTTTATTAAAATAATTAAGATTATTATTTTTATTAAAATCCCCCACAGGTGGCAATGGCATGCGCCGAACGGCCTCAGCAGAAAAGTGCCCAAAGCAAGCGCTTTGGAGGGCTTTCTGTAATGCGCTGCTCCCACCTCACCGGAGGCGATTCTCTTCACGCCCACCTGCACCCCGCGCCTTAGGCGCAATTTTAAAAACTAAGCTAAACAGTAAATGAGGAACTACATGCTTTAGTAGCACATACCAACATTTCCAGGACAATTAGGAGAATTAAGGAAAGGATGAGGATGAACACGGTAAAACAAACTGTAACCATCTCAATCGAAACACGTAGAAATAATGACGCTAAACAACATAAGAAATCTCATAACAAACTATCAGGTGTCAGATCAAGAGCCAAGCATTCAATTTGCAAGATGAAGAAAGCAATCACCAATAATTCTTATAAAAAATCAAAACTGACATCACCAAGGGGAATCAAGAATCGATGATGAACTCCAAACTCAGTAAGTAAAGAATCAATTAGAAGTTCTTCTAAGGGCTTGTTTTCAACCAAAATTTTCCTGATCATACTATTTTTTAAGCTTGCTCGTGCTGTGTGGAGTAAATACACAACATTGGCTTATCATCAAAGAGTGTTGTAGACAAATTGCGATTCTAAATTTTTCTGAGCACTAATCTAAGGAAAATTATCTGAAAGCTGCAGTAAGAAACCTAATTCTGTAAATATTCAAACCCAACCATGATCAGAGAATTCAAATATGATTTTGCAAGTGGGGTTTGAAATTGAACCATACAATATTCTAGTTCTTGCTCGCAATTGCCATTGAAAAATAAACAATTCTTACGATTGAGACCAAGCATTCTTTACCTCTGTTTTCACCTCATAATTGAATGAAATTCCAGAATTGGAATGCCAAATGGGGCCTTAATCTCAAATTAAACAATTCAATCAACCAACAGCTAAACGATACCGCAGTATATAGAAATGGAAATCATAAACAAAATGGGAATCAATCACGCAAGAAACTGAAAGTTGCTCATTCCAAATACCTTCAAAAATAAAAGTGCGTATCGAACAGTACCCTTATAAAATAACTAACATTGTTCAAACAAAAAATACTTGAAATTAAGATCCCATCAAAATAGATGAACACTCACCACTTAAAACCTCCTCCCGGGTCCACCACCGCGGCCGAACCCGATTTGAGGAACGACAGCAACCGGGTCAACCTTAACAAGACCAGGGATATCAGCCATCCCAAGAACCGAAAGCATATCGAGCGTTTCCTTATCGACTTCGATTTGGTCAACCTTGATAGCGGATTCATCGGGGACGAAATCCATGCGACGCTCACGCTCTTCCTCTTGGAGCTTAAGGGAAATGCCGCGAACGGGACCCTTCTGGATCCGTTTCATCAAATGGGTGGAGAACCCGGCGATCTTGTTGCGGAGCCTCTTGGATGGGATGATGGCAACTTCTTCGATGATCTTCTTGTTGGTGTGGAAATCGAGGGTCATGCGAGAGTAGTACCGCTCGATCACCTGACGGGAAGATTTCTTCACTGTTTTGGTACGGACGCGGCCCATTGTATGGATCAGTTGACGACTCTACTTAGTGGCTGGCTGGAGTTCAGTGGGAGTGAAAGAGAAAATGCAGAGGCTAGGGTTTTCTGATTGTGAAAGGAGGGTTTATATATGGATTGTTGGGCCTTTTTCAGTTGTAGTGTAAGTGCTTACGGCCTTAACTTTAAACAGTCCAAGTATTTTTCATCACCCTATTATTTAATTCCATTTCCTATGTTTTTTTCTTTATTTAAAAGGAACTATTCCAAATTAAATTTCAATTGACACTTTCAAAATATTTTAGGTAAACTATATTATTAATCATTGAAATTTAGGTATTATCTTGTTTTAGTTGTCAAATTATAAAAACAATTAATTTTACCTTTAAACTTTTCAAATTGATTTTTTGTTACTAAACAATTAATTTTGATTGGATGGATAAAATTGATATTTTGAGGCCCAACGATCGATGACGATGGTCGACAGTGACTGATGATGAAATTCAATAGTAACGAACAAAGGTGAAGAGCAGTGGCCAGAAATTGAGGACTTTGATTGGATTTAGGGATAAAATTATTATTTTATCTAATTTTCAAGGGTTAAATTAGTATTTTATCTAAAGTTTAGGTTTAAATTAATATTATGTCTAAAATTCAAGGTTTACATTAAAATTTAATCATTTTTATTAATATTCACGTCATTAAACTAACGAGGGTTAAAGTCCTAGTGAAAAAATATAATGATCTGGTAACGTAAATGATCAAAATATTATTTTTTCAAAACCAATGACCAGGATGAAATAGACCAAAAACAAAAGGGAATATCTGTAACACCCCAAAGTTACTTAATTTAGGGAACAAATTGCAAGTTTTTGAAACTTGTAACTCATTTTAGAAGCTGTAGAAAATTTAGAGACTTATCTCTGAATTTATCCATTTTTGTCGACAAAGGAAAAAATAATAGAAGGGAGTTGGTGCTGCACGGGGTTGAACCCTTATCCCCAAGAAAAAAGACAAACGGCTAGGGTAATGTTATTGAAAATTTTATTTTAAAATTCTTTTTATTATTTTAAAGGCTCGGGATTTAAATCCCAAAAATTTCCAAATTGAAACCCCTAATTTCCAACCCAAACCCTAGTCGCCATGTCGCCTCCCTGAATACGTCACCGTTCGACTGTCGTTTCACCTGCCACCGCCTCCATTTAACTTGTCGTTGACCGGCGACCAAAACCCGACCTTTCCCGCACCGAACAACAAATTCGTTCACAGTAAGAAGCTCACTAAAGCTTCGTCGTCCCTAACCCCTGTCACCTCAATTAACCGTAATTTTCGACGGCCATCGACGTCCGTTCACTTCACTCCCGTCGTGGTTGGACTTCCCATTGCTTTCCGCTCAAAACCCAACCCTTGGGTAGTATCGTGGTCGCCATTCTCTTCGTCATCGGCGTGGGTAAGATCGGGTTTGATTTCTGATTAATTTTTGCCCGTTTTGCTTGATTTTTTGATAGGTTCGCGTTGTTTGAAGTCGAGGTAGCAACTGGAGTGATCGGACCACCAAAGCGACCCCCTTTACCGTCGTACGCTCCGTCACGTGCCGATAGTGAGTGTGGGATTCTTTTATCGGCCTAAGAGCCTTCTAGATCAGGTCCAGTCAGACCGAACCAATCCAGTCAGACAATGCGCCGACAGTGCGCGTGGGATTCATTCACTGCTTCTTTGTTGTGTGCTTAAGTTAAGTCCTTATGGATGCAGTTCTGGGGAACTACATATCGGTGTTCGGTTTGAGGGTATTACTGCGGTTTTAAA